ACATCAAAATAATGATAAATCACCCTAATAGAAAAAGACAAGTCTTTGTTTTTAAAGAACATTAATAAAAATGCTAACTTGGTTATGGCATTGTTCCATGGGGATCTCCACTGCAAATTTTCTTTTCTTTGTTGTTGTTTTTTTTCTTTTTTTTTTAATTCTCATCCAAGGATACTTTTTTTCCATTTACCTTCAGATAGAGGGAAAGCGAGGGAGGGAGGGAGAGAGGAGAGAGAGAGAAACATCAATATGAGAGAGACACATCGACTGGCTGCCTCCCGCACTACCCCACGCAGGGCTCAGGACCGCAACCAAGGTATGTGTCCTTGACCGGAATCGAACCCAAGACTCTTTGGTCCACGGGCTGACGCTCTAACAACTGAGCAAAACCAGCCAGGGCTCTTTTCTTTTTCTATCTTTGAAACATAACAGAGGTGAGACTTTATGCCCCTGTAGAGAAAAGAAGAATACAGGCCTTTCATGAGCCTTGAGCAAGCTGCTGCTTGCTGCCAGTGTTGTAAACAAGAAACACTTCAACCTTGAATTTGTCTTGTGGGATAAAGCTTAAAACGCATCTAGATCAAATATATGGGATTTCTCCTCAGCTGTGACATCCCAGACAAGGGGCAAATGGGTGCCCTAGATTGTTAAATAAAGCCTAGCCTGGAGAGCAGGACCACAGCCTTGTTCCACTTACCTGAAAGAAGCCCATAGAAGAGCTATGCATTTCCAACTTTTGCCCAGGTATCACATTTCACTAAAATCTGATTTGAACACTGCAGAAAGTATGCCCATTAGCAAAAAATTTCAGTCCTCCAATTTGTTTCAAGATGGTAAAGTGGATCATAAATCAGACTTAAATGGAATCCTGAAAACTTTTGGCATTGTCAAAAATTTATCAGCTCTGACTTCTGGTCAAGATGGCAGCATAGGTAAACCCAGTATCACGTCCTCCCACAACCACATCAAGGTTACAACTAAACTACAGAACAACCATCATTCAAAACCGCCTGAAATCCAGCTGAATGGAAGTCCTACAACTACGGGATTAAAGCAGCAGCCACATCCAGACTGGTAGGAGGGGAGGAGGCGGAGGGGCTGGTCCCACACCCAAGTGTGGCGGATAAAAATCAGGAGGACACCTCGGCTGGGAAGGTCCTTCCTGAGGACTGAGGGGTCCTCGTCCCACACCAGGCGCCCCACTCAGGGTTCCAGTGCCAGGAAGAGAAGTCCCCATAACTTCTGGCTCGAAAAAGCAGCGGGAACTGAGGCTCAGAGAGGCTGACGCAGCTGGAGCCCCAGGCAGTTCCTTAAAGAGCCCGCGCACGGACGTATCGGACTCTCTCCCTCTAAGCTTGGAGGGGAGGCAGCTCAAGGGGCACCAGAGACATACAGGGAAGAACTGAGCTGTTTGGCACTGGAGCGAGGGCTGGAGAGGGGGCTTTCTCCAGGACAAACGTGCTGTCAGAGGCCTTTGTTCCTTTAGTGAGCCCTGCCCTGGGGTGGCAGAGAGCCGCCACATCTGGGACTCCAGCAACCTGGCTCACACTGGTAGCCCCGCCCTGCTGACTCCCTGAGGCCCCGCCCCACCCAACTTTCAGGCCCACCCAAGCTGTTGCCAGTTGCTTCACCATAGGATTGGCCTGTCTTGGATCCTGCTTCAGGTTTTCCTAAATTCTTTCAAACAAGCAGCATCTGGTCTCAGCTAGCCCCATACCGCTCGTTAAGTAATACACTGAAACAAACACAGGGAGGCAACCAAAATGAGACAAAGAAACAGGTCCTAGATGAAAGAACAGAACAAAACCCCAGGAGATCTAAGCGAAATGAAGATAAGCAACATAACAGATGCTGAGTTCAAAATACTGTTTATAAGGATGCTCAATGAACTTAGTGAGAACCTCAGTGAACTTAGTGAGGGCCTCAAGAGCATAAAAAAGGACCAGTCAAAAATGATGGATGCACAGTCAGAAATGAAGGAGGCATTAACTGAAATAAAGAATAATTTAGACAGATTCAATAGTAGAGTACATAAATCCAAGAAGCAAACCATCGATTTGGAATATAAGGAAGCAAAAAATGCCCAATCAGAACAGCAAAAAGAAAAAAGAATCCAAAAAAATGAGGATAGTGTAAGGAGCCTCTGGGACAACTTCAAGCATGCCAACATTCGCATCTTGGGGGTGCTAGAAGAGAAGAGCGAGAACAAGAAATTGAAAACCTGTTTGAAACAACAATGGGAGAAAACTTTCCTAACTTGGTGAAGAAAACAGACATACAAGTCCAGGAAGCACAGAGAATCCCAAACAAGATGAACCCTAAGAGGCCCACACCAAGACACATCATCATCAAAATGCAAAAGGTTCAAGACAGAGAGAATCTTAAAAGCAGCAAGAGAAAGGCAGCTAGTTACCTCCAGAGGAGTTGCCATAAGGCTGTCAGCTGATTTCTCAAAAGAAATTTTGCAGGCCAGAAGGGAGTGGCAAGAAATATTCAGAGTGATGAAAAGCAAGAACCTACAACCAAGATTACTCTATCCAGCAAAGCTGTCATTTAGAATCGATGGCCATATAAAAAGTTTCCCAGACAAGAAAAAGTTAAAGGAGTTCATCACCACCAAACCATTATTATATGAAATGATGAAGGGTCTTTTTGAAGAAAAAGATAAAAAATATGAACAAACAAAATGGCAATGAATACATATCTATCAACAATGGAATCTACAAACAAAATGAACAGGCAGAACAGAAACATTCTCATAGATACAGAGAACATTTTGTTGGTTGCCAGATGGGAGGGGGGTTGGGGGAATGGTTGAAAAAGGTGAAGGGATTAAGAAGCACAAATTGGTTGTTAGACTGACAGACCTCAAAGGGAAGGGAGTTTGGGTAGTGGGAAGAAATAAACCAAAGAACTTATATGCATAACCAATGGACACAGACATAGTGTGGGAAAAGGCGGGATGGGGCGGGAGTGGGGAGGAGGGGGTCAATAGGGGAAAAATGAGGAACATCTGTAATACATTCAACAATAAAGATTTAAAAAAAAAATTATCAGCTCTGCAGAAGTGATGATATGACAAAGCTGAAATATTGAGTGGCTGAATTTAAAAAAAGAGGCTTTCCCTTAATATTGATGGTGTTAATTTCTTTGGAAATTGTTTTGCCTCTCACTTTAAATATGACTAAACCCCATGGCTATATAAGTTTTTCCAAAACAACATAGTGCTTTTCAATAAGTTGAATATGTACTACTGCTTAGCAGAATGAAAGAGTGTGATATTGAGACACAGTCCTTGTCCAGGCAGAACTAAGTTTGAATCTCAGCTCTGCTACATGTAACTTCATGTAGCCTCAGTTTTCTCATCTGTAAAATGGAGCTGATAATATCTACTCCATCGGGTTGTTATGATGACTAAACGAAAGAATGTATGGGTGAAGAACCTGGCCCATAGTACATGCTTAGGAAATGATTGCTATTGTTAATATGAGTTCTTATGTATTGCTCACTGACAGTCTCACCAGTGAGCAAAAAACATTAAGGTGTCTATCAACTCACCCAGCAAACCAAGGAAGTGAAAATCAAAAAAGAAAAGAATTGACTATGTACTTCCTTATTTTGTGTCTCATATGTAAGTCTTCTCTCCCTACTAGATGGGTCTCTAAGGACAGAAACTGAATCATCTTTCCTATACCCTATGAGACTAGCACAGTGCTAGACAGCTAGTAGACAGACACTCAGGAAATGTTTGTTGATACAACCTCACTTAGCTATGTGTTATGTCTATGTATACATACCGCGCTTATGAGAACAGGATTATGTCTCACCACATAAGAATCTGAAAGTTTCCTGATAACTGTTATTTTCCAATAAAACCATGGGGAAATTTTACCATCTTCAAATCATTTTGCTTTCTAATTTGTTTCTGGGCCCATTAGCCAGTTTATTATCTATGCATTTATAAGTATCATTAACATGGCATCTGGCACTGAGATAACTTTCTGGTCTTTATTTTTTAATTAAAATCTTAGTTTTCTGATATTACTTAGATTAGCTAGAGGTCCTTTATACTTAACCTTTCTATCTGCATATTTAAATATATTAATGATTTTTCAGTAACTTTATGGTAAATAAGCATGTCTAATTAAGATATCCTGTACTCTAGCCCTGGCCAGTTCGGCTCAGTGGTTACAGCATCAGCCCACAGATCCAAAGATCTCAGGTTCAGCAATTCCCAGTCAAGGGCACGTACCTGGGTTATGGGTTCGATCCCCAGCCCCGGTTGGCGTGTGTATGGGAGGCAACCAATTGATGTCTTTCTTTCCCCCTCCCTCCCTTCTATTGTATCTAAAAATCAATGGAAAAAATATCCTCAAGTGAGGATTAGCAAACATAAAGTTAAATTAAAAACTTTAAAAATAGATATCCTATATTCTATACAATTTTTCAAATTCTAGTGATGTCCTAGCATTTGATTACCATTTTGGGGGAAACTTGAAATCATTAAAGACCTGAGTGTAACAATAGTAAGTAAAAGTTGAAGAACTGTATGACTATGTATAATTGATTAAATATGTAATAATTAAATTTTTAAGTCTGAGTAGCAGGGATATAGATGGCTCAAAGATTACTGCTTACCAATAATATTACTCATGAATTAGAATGGAGTTTTAACATTGTTTTGATCCCTGCAGAGATGCTCCTGATCTATAAGGTATATGAGATGTTACAGCAGCTATGTTTTATCCATGAGGAAATTGAGGCCCAGAGTGGTTGGGTTACTTTCCTGATTACCTAACTATTCAGTGGCAGAACTAGAGAAGAACCCAGATCTTCTCTTTCTGATTAATTTTTTCAAATCTCAGTAAAAATTGTATTTCAAAAATAAAGTCCTCACCATCAGTTATGTTGTGCCATCCAACACAAGTTTATTATTCCACATTCCATGTCAAAACACTTTCGATTTGACCCCAAGAACACTCTTTCTGTTTTCTTCTCAGTTTGAACGTAACGACCCTGTGGACGGGAGAATTACTGAGAGGCAGTTTGGTGGCATGCTGCTGGCCTACAGTGGGGTGCAGTCCAAGAAGTTGATTGCCATGCAGAAGCAGCTCAAGAAGCACTTCAAAGAGGGAAAGGTAAGTATCTTTGCCTAGGAGGGAAGAAAAAGAACCAAACCATGGAGCCCTGGCCAGTTTGCTCAGCAGTTAGAGCTTCAGCCCGCGGACCTAAGAGTCCCGGGTTTGGTTCCCGCTAAGGGCATGTACCTCAGTTGCAGTTTGTCCCCGGCCCCAGTTGAGGTCATGTGGGTGGCAGCTGGTCGATGTGTCTCTCTCGCATCAATGTTTCTCTCTCTCTCTTCTTCCCTCTCTCCCTACCATTCTATCTGAAGATAAATGCAAAAATGTCCTCGGGTGAGGATTTTAAAAAAAAACAACATGGAAACATAAGGTGTCATGAACCAAAGATTGTAACTAATTCATCTCTGATACCTGAAAAAAATTAGCAGTGGATAAGGAGGGAGGAAGAGCCCAGAGTGACTCTGGTTTTCTTATTTGGACAAAGGGTGATACCATGAACTGAGACTGAAAATTTAAAAAGAAAGCCAGGTGTATAGAGAAGATAAAGAGTTCAGTAGGTACCTTGAGTTTAAAATGCCTGTGGACGTCCAAGTAGAGTTGATTAGCAGGCAGTTAGTATTTAACTGCCTATTTAACTAGTATTTAAAAATAGTATTTAACTATTTTAGAGGATGAGATAGATTTGGGAATCATCAACACACAATAAGAGTTAAAACAAGGAGAATAGCCCTGGCTGGTTTGGCTCAATGGTTAGAGTGTCAGTCTTTGGACCAAAGGGTCGAAGGTTTGATTCCCGGTTTGGGTTGTGGGTTCAATCCCCAGCCCTGGTCAGGTCGTGTGGGAGGCAGCCAGTAGATGTGTCTCTCTCACTGGATGTTTCTCTCTCTCTCTCCACCCCCCCCCCCTTCTACCCTGCTTAAAAATCAATGGAAAAATATCCTTGAGTGAGGCTTAACAACAACTACAACAAAAACACAAGGAGAATGGATGAGAGTACCCAAGGAGAGTATAATACAGAAAAGGACTGTGGGCCAAGGACAAAATCCAATAGAACACTAACACTTAAGCAGCTCAGGGAGGAAATCTTGAAGAAATGTTTAGAGAAATATCTAGAGAAAGTAGTGAATCAAAGCCAAAGAAGTAGAAGATTCAGGAACTGAGGGGTCTACAGGGTCACATGTGACAGGTGGACCAGTAAAATAAGATGACAAATATCCATTGGTTTTGGTGAAATAGTAATAACTGGTGACCTTTGGGAGAGCTGTTTTATTAGAGTGGTCAGTCAGAGGGCACGTTAGAATGAGAAGTAAGGAAGTGGAGGAAGAGAAGAGAAGAGGAGGAAGAAGAGGGGAGTGGAGGCTCCAGAAGGAAACAGCGCAGGTTAAAAAGTCCCAGGCAGTATGTAAGTCAGCTCGGGCTGCTGTAACACAATGCCACAGACTAGGTGGCTAAAGCAACAGAAATTTATTTTTCTCACAGCTCAGGAGGCCAGATGTCCATGATCAAGGTGCTGGCGAATTAGGTTTCTAATGAGGACTCTCTTTCCTGGCCTGCAGACACGTCTTCTTGCTGTGTCCTCCCATGGCCTTTCCTTGGTATTTGCCCAGAGCGGCAAGGAGGAGGGGCAGTGCCCACACTGGCTCTCTGATGTGTCTTCTTATAAGAACAATAATCACTTCAGACCAGAACTTCACCCCAAGGACCTTATTTAGCCCTAATTATTTACTTAAAGGTCCATCTCCTAATAAAACCACACTGGGAGTTAGGGCTTCAATGTATAAGTTTGGTGGGCGATACAAACATGCATTCCTTAACAGGGAGGAAAGACAAACCTGGCATGTGTAAGGAACTAAAGAGGACTGGAGCATACTAGCAAGAAGGAGAATGGACTGAGATGCGGGCCCGAACGTGCAGGACCTTATAGGCACGTTCCCAGTGCAGTGGGAAGCTGTTAAAGGGTTGTGAGCAGTGAAATGGTATGGTTGTATGTATATTTAAAGAGATGATTCTCTTTACTTTATGAAAAATATTTTGGAAGAGAGCAAGCATAGAAGCAAAAAGACTGATACTCAGATTATTAGAGAATTCAGAAGAGATGATTGAGCATCTTTTGAGCAGAACTGAGATTGAAGACCCTGGATTTGTAGTTGCATTAATCAACCCTACTCTCAAAGCTTTCAACACTAGCTACACCTGACGCAAGAAGAGGCAGATGGTAGAACTGAGTCAGCATCTGGGACTTTGCCAGGGAGTGGGAAGGACAAACTAAAGCAGAAATTAGTTAAGAGGCCAGACCTCTTACTATCAGACACACACACACACACACACACACACACACACACACACACACCAATGCCAGCAAACCCATGTCTTCTCATTCTCAGCCCAATACTCTTCTCACTAGACAATGATTACCAATTTGGCCATGACTGGGAAACTGACCTGGCATTAAAAATGTTCCATGAGAGCCCTGACCGGTTTTGCACAGCAGTTGGAGTGTCGGCCTGTGGACTGAAGGTTCACAGGTTCAATTCCTGGTCAAGGGCACATACCTGAGTTGCAGGTTCAATCCCCAGCCCCAGTCAGGATTGTGCAGGAGACAACCAATTAATGTGTCTCTCACGTTGATGTTTCTCCCCCCATCCCCTTCCTTCCACTCTATCTGAAAATCAGTGGAGAAATATTCTCAAGTGAGGATTAACAAAAAAATAATATAACATAAAAATGATAATAAAAATTAAAATGTTCCATGAGAGATTGCTAAGGTAGTGTGGTATGGGAGACATGGAGCTGGAAGACTTGGATTTAAATCCTACTTCAGAGGTTTCCATGGACATTAGACAAATTGTTTAACCTATTGGCTTCATGCATTGAGCAGCTTGTCCTAGATGTGCATTATAAGGGTTATGTAGCTTCAAAGAGTCCATAACAGAAAAGAAGAAATAGGATTGTTAGTACTGTACTTGTCTGTTTTCTTAGTCATTAGTCTTTGTGCAGGAAATCTTACATGAATAGCATTGCCCCAAGTTGGTAGAAAGCAATTCTGATCAACCAGATGTTTTCCTCCTTGTCTTGGTCATCAGAAAGCTGAAAGGAACTCTGAACCAGGCTGTGGACTGCAACCATGGGCAGGCTGGGCTCTGAGAGAAAGTGTCAGCTTCTCTGAATTCAGTCCAGCCTGTCCCTACAGCAGGTGTCCCCTTGACTGTGAGGGAAAGGCTTGTAATTGATAGGAAGTGACAGAGGACAATACTTATACATCACTCAATACCAGCTCAGATCTGTTGGAAATTACAGTTTCAGAAAATTGATTGCAAATGTTTAGGTGGATGTTTTAGTGCTGATGCCGGAAGTATATTTGCATTAGGAAATACTCCTTTCTTTTGACCAGACTTATTTTTAAAGTTTGGTTCAGACATTGACTTGACCTTAGAAAAATAACCTATCATGATAGGCTAATTCATGTTTTATTATGAATTTATATTTAACAGCCATAAATTGGGTGTTGGAGACATCTCCATTGAAGGAATAGAATATTTTATCTTTGGCAGGAGTTAATTTAGGACCTGAAGACCTTTCAAAACAGCTCTGAAGTGAAAGGACAAATTTTGTCAGATGAAGAAAATCTGGGGTGCAAAATTACTTCTGGCCTAAAATTTCCAGCCTGCTTTAGCAAAGAGATGAGATTGATTGTCCTCTCATGTTGCTTAAATAATTTGTGAACATAGTAATTAAGTAAAATGAGAGCGAATGAAGGACCTTTGCTCCTCTAGTTATCATTCCATCCCTCTAGGACCATTCCCCATTAGAATCACCATCTTTTCTAATTGCTTCTTTATTTCTCTTTGGATTTGTTAGCATGAAAATTTAAGTTTTCATTTGGCTCATGTTAACAGTGTTTTGTGTGAGGTTCTGTACAAAATATTGAACCAGACCTAAAAGATTGAAGGTTCTAGTGGTGTATTAAATAAATATCTGTATAAACACTTACAGATATGTGTTTCTAACAGCCTTGTTGGATCTCTTTTGCCCTTGAAAATATAGGACACAGAGAAAGAGAAATTGATGACCCACTCAGAGTCTAGAGTGAAATCCAACACTTCCTATTCCAGATCTTGTCCTTTCCATTGCAAAGTTCTATTTCTCCTAACTATACACTTCCTCTAAAGCAATGCTTCTTGACCTTGGCTGCCCAGTAGGATCACTTGGGGAATTTTTAATAAATGTGAGCCCTGGCTGGTTTTTGTTCAGTGGTTAGAGCGTCGGCCCATGGACCAAAGAGTCACAGGTTTGATTCCGGTCAAAGTCACGTATCTCAGTTGCGGTTCAGTCCCTGGTCCTGGTCAGGGTCGAGCGGGAGGCAACCAATCAATGTGTCTTCCTCATATCGATGTTTCTCTTTCTTCTCTCTCTCTCCCTCCCACTCTATCTAAAAAGTATCCTCAGGTGAGGATTTTTAAAAAGAAAAAGAGCCCGGCCCTGGCTGGTTTGGCTCAGCCATTAGAGCGTTGGCCTGCGGTCCAGAGAGACGCAGGTTTGGTTCCCACTAAGGGCATGTACCTCCGTTGCAGTTTGTCCCCGGCCCTGATTGGTCATGCAGGTGGCAGCCACTCAATGTATCACTTTCACGTCAATGTTTCTCTCTCTCTCTCTCACTCTCTCTCTCTTCTTTCCTCTCTCTCTCCCACTCTATCTGAACAAAAAATGGAAAAATGTCCTCGAGTGAGGTTAAAAAAAAAAGAAAGAAAGAAAAAGAGCCCGATCCATGTGGCTCAATGGTTGAGTGTCGACCCATGCACCAAGAGGTCGCCGATTCAATTCCAGGTCAGGGCACATGCCCAGGTTGTGGGCCCAATCCCCAGTGTGGGGCATGCAGGAAGCGACCAATGGATGTTCTCTCTCTTCAATATTTCTATCTCTCTCTCCCTCTCCCTTCCTCTCTCTCTAAACTCAAAAAAGAAAAAAAAATTTTTTTAAAGAAAAAGAAATGTGAGCCTGCTGATGTGGCTCAGTGGGTTGGGTGTCAACTCATGCACCAGAGGGTTGCTGGTTCAATT